ACCCTCATCTTTGTAAAAGTCGTATATCAAATACTAGAGACTTGTGCTCCGGTATACGCATACATTTATACATTATGATTACGTTCATTACGATCATACGTCTAGAAATTAAATTATTCAACAAATAAGCTCTCATTATATTGCGATCACTGCAGCGCAACCCAAGCGCAATCGCCCGTATATGTGAGTGTCCGAATTATTATTGCAATATCAGTTGCTTAGAGGGTTCAGGGGATCTCGTAGTCGAGCAGTCTCGACTAGAGCTTTCTTACTTGTTATATTCTGAGCCCATTAAAAACAGCAAATTAGGCTATAATGGTGCCACTCCTCCTTCTGCCTGTTACGTACATGTATACCCTAATTTCCCATTTTTAACTGGGAATGGGTATACAAATTATATCTTCTACATCCTCAGAGCTAGAGTCTCTAACCTTTTAATATAGACTCAGGCGTGTATATAAATTTACATACATACATATGTATACAAGTAAATTTTTTTGCTAAGTCGGGCTTTCTTGTTATATGATATATGCTGTTGTTATATGATATTTTAATACCAATTTAAATTGTGTACATAAACTTTTATCGATTCATTGCATTTATCTACCAGGACTCGAAAATTGGGATATATCAAAAAATGTGGCGATACATGGAAAACCGGAAGACTTCCGTGTTCGTCAAAACGTACGAGGATGGCATCAAACGAGTGATGGAGGGCAACTATGCTTTTTTAATGGAGTCAACAATGTTGGACTATGCAGTTCAGCGAGATTGTAACTTAACTCAAATAGGGGGGCTGCTTGACTCGAAAGGCTATGGCATTGCAACGCCAAAGGGCTCCCCATGGCGGGATAAAATCTCATTAGCTATTTTGGAATTGCAAGAAAAAGGCATTATACAAATACTCTATGACAAATGGTGGAAGAATACGGGCGATGTCTGCAACAGAGATGATAAAAGCAAGGAATCGAAAGCAAATGCATTAGGTGTTGAAAATATTGGTATGTACATGTGTATTTTATTGTATACATAGAGCATTATGATTTGTTGTGTTCATCTAGTAGAGTTTTTATTACGATAATTAAAATGTGCATGAATAATTGTTTTAAATGAGAGCATGACCGAAAACTATCATGTGAATCTGAAATGAAGTGGTCCATCTTTTAAAGTTTGGACCTCAGACCTACCGAGCTGCACACAAAATTTCGTGAGAATCGGTCGAACCGTTTCGGAGTTTGGCAACAAACACCGCGATACGAGAATTTTATATATAAGATTTATATTCATGTGTATGAATGACCTACTGCCAAACTATGCATACATATATGCATACAAACATACACACATAAATATACATATATGCTTTTTTATACTTTTTAGGCGGTGTTTTCGTTGTTCTACTTTGTGGCTTAGCGCTTGCTGTGGTGGTGGCGATTTTTGAATTCTGTTGGAATTCGAAGAAAAATTTGCATACAGACAATCAATCCTTATGCTCGGAAATGGCCGAAGAGCTGCGCTTCGCCATGCACTGCCAGGGATCAAAATCGAAGCAAAGGCCGGCACTCAAACGTGACTGCCTCAAGTGCGCCCCAGGGTCCACTTATGTGCCAACTAATGTAACAATGCCAAACTTGGGAGTTCATTATAACTTTTTTAATTGAAGCAGAAAAATAAATAAATTTTGATTAAGACTTTTAAAATTAAGTTTTGTGTACTTACATTTACATACATTCATGTCTACTTTAGGGACATCTACTTTTTTTATCAAGATTAAAACGAAAATAAAAATTTGTTGCCAAGAGAATAAGCCTCAAATTTACATATCATATCATCGCAAATTATGTTCAGGTTTATATTCAGCGTGTTGAAATCTTTCCTCGTCCTAAAATATGAAGCACAAAAGGAGCAGTACATTTGTACATATGCGATATTTTTATTTTTTTTTTAAGTGCGTGTACATTAATTTAATTGTGCTAAGCAGACTTAATGTTTTACGATCATCAGCTTATAACAATATTACCGTTTATTCTTTTTATGATTCTTATTAATTTTTCGCCTCTTTAAAATCATGTCGTATAAAGCATCCAAACCTTCTTGTAGCCCCTCGCCAGTTATAGCACAAGCCGGCTGTATGTACCAACCTTTGACATTTAAATTAGTGTGCTTAAGTGTGAGTTGCTGTTGTGGATTGCTCAACGCGGCAGGTGAACTGGAGACCTTGCATTTAGAATCCGCGTGGGAGAAAGTGCTTTCAGAATCAAGCTGGAAATAATCTGTACTTCTTACGTGACTATTATCAGTGTCCTTATTTACATTAGTTAGGGAAGTTTTGCCATAATCTGTATAACTTTGGTTTGATGTGGCAAAACCTGCAATGTTGCCAGTTGAAGTCGAGGTGGAAGTACTTGAGAGATTCGATATTGGATAGTGTAGCTCATGTAATCCTAAAAGATTTTCAAGTTGCTTGGGACAGCATGCACTTGGTAGATCCTGTTTATTCGCCAAAATCAGCACAGGAACACCCTGAAATCAATTAAATTAAATATAGTGCTACATATGGCAGCTCTGATTTTGAGCTTTAAATCAAACTCAGACCTGGTTATCCGGACATTTGGCTGTACGCATTAACTCCATTTTTGCTTCTTCCATGCGCTCCGTATCAACCGAATCCACAACGAATAGAATACCATCAGTGCAGCTAGGAAATTATTAAATATTGATTTAAAGCATATATATAAGTTTTATATATTGATTAAAACGCCTGTACTTTGCTTTTTTATAGGAATATTCGTCGAGTATATATATATATATACAAATGTATGTGCGTATGCATAATGATAGTAAACTTCTGTTTACCTACCGAGTGTAACTTCGCCAAAGCGGCCGAAGTTTCTCTTGTCCGCCCACATCCCAAACGAGAAAGTGAACTCCCTTCGCTTTGCCCAAGGTACCCTGCACCTGAAACAGCTTAACTTAATTAATTTGAACTTTCGTCGATTCCTCAAATTGTAATGCGTACTTTCTCGCAATTAAATCCGATAGTGGGTACTGTGTTTAAATACTGATCAAACTTAAGTCTATATAATGCTGTTGTTTTCCCAGCAGAATCCAAGCCCAGCATTACAACGTGTAATGTTCCCTGCAATTACATATTTATATTTATCATTTGTTAATAGTTAAACGACAGTGTGCGGCTACCTGTGTAGGCAATGCATCCAATAAATTTCCATTTTTTACTATCGTTGCCCCCATTTTTACTTGTTTTTCTTACATTATTGCTACCACAGTTTTACTTAGGGATGCTAATTATTGTATCGATATATCATATCATTGCAATTAATATTCCACATGAAAAACAAGTGTGCGCAGCTATCGATAAATTGTATATTTATAAATCGTAAGGAATATATTTTTAAATGCCTATGTGCTGAGATATAATCGATGTTTGTATATTATCATATATATAAATGTTAAATCATGTTATATTTTTAAATGTATAAACATAAATTTATACTAAAATATTTATTTTTAAAATAAATTTATCTGTGGTAACTAATCGAAACTAACAACATATTAGCTACAGCTAACATCGATTGCTATATGAGTATGTTAGCATACGGATATTAGAGCGAGTTAGCAGCTGTTAAAGTACACGTAACGGACATTATTCTTAGTTTTTAAAATATACAGTGGTAATAACATTTTTCAAAGTACTGCTATATCTGAATGTGTTAAGATTGATATATATGTATTTTAACTACTTCTAAATAACTGCATTACTGTTTGAAAAGTTTGTAAACTGTTAGTTTCTCTACTTGTGTGCTGAAAATAAAAGGCCCAGCTCCTCAAAATATACATACATATCCTGCATGTAAAGATATAACTCCATTAATGAAGAGTATGACAATTAGATTAGACGATTCTTTAAATACTTGTTTTAAAGTACATGTCTAATAAAATAAACATTTGGGACATAGTGTGCGCAGCTGCTAAAAATCGGAGCATGTATGTACGTGTACATTTGGGCCATATGTGTATATATACATATATAATACATATATTTTTATAACGCACTGTTCATATATAAGCGTATATATATATGTATATATTTATAAATGTATATACATATATATACATACATGCAAGCATAGATGGGTACATGCATACATACATAGTTACGCATACAAAAACTACATACATATGGTATATATCTTGATGGAGAGGAAATTGGCAGTATAAAATAGAAAAATAATGTGGACACTGTAAACAGCGTGTGGACGCTAGAAATATCGTGCACTCATATTCTTTGAATCGAGCAGAATACGTACGGACAATACGCGTGACTGTATATGTATGTGTAGATGATATGTAGATTTTATTCGTTCGAGGTTATTATTTTAGTCCGGTCGGCATTTTAATTTTATTGTTATCTTATACAAGTGTAGACCGATAATTGAATTTTCGATTTTGCAGCACGCTGTACCCTTTAGAATTTTTCATTCATAAAAACTAGAAGTGGTAAGCTGCATGTACCATAGCCGTTTTCTTTATATTAATAAAAAAGTAACCTTTTTAACTTGTGATTAAAATATTTTTTAGAAAAATGCAAATAATAAGTGGGTTATGTAAGATGACAATAGAATCTTCATTTAAGGTGTACATATGCATATACAAATATGCATATACATATATATACATATATATATATATATATATATATATATATATATATATA